CACGACGTCCAGGCGCAGACGAGCGGCTATCCACTCCGGCGCACGCCCAGTCTGTTGGCGTCGCTCCGCCTCCCGCCACGAGGGCTTGCGATTGGTCCGCGGCAAGGCCCGGGAGAGGAGCTCAGCTCCCTATTGGCCAGCGCTCTGAGTCTGGTTTCCGCTCACGCCGCTTTCAAATTAGAGCGCGCGTCGGACGCAGTCTCTTCGCCTCGTAGGCGGAGCTGTCTATCAGAGTGGAGGCGCTCAGAGGTTCCGGCCGGCTTCAGGACTTGGTGTGGCCCGTGCGTTGACAAGTTTGGTGACGAGGTCAACTGTCTTTGTCAGAGCGGGGAAGGAGCTGGAAATCGCCTCATAGGAGGAACAGTGAAGGGAACCGGAGATATTTGGACTGGAGTAGCGACTGCGTGATACGTCTTCACGAGGAAACTTTTACTGCGTCAGAGGATGCATCTAAGGCTAGCGGATGAAAGTTAAAGGGATGCAGAGTGTAGCCCAGTAAAGCATTCTAGCAATGAGATCCCTGAAGAACAGAACCGGTCACCTTGGGCCGCAGTGAACTCCTTCATCACTGCAAGGGTTCGAGTGGAAGTTGATGAGGGAGAGTGCAAAGGGGGATCCCTGCCTTGGGTGGAAGCTGAGAATAGATGGCTTCGAGGCCTTCTTCCAATTCTAAAAATGTGGTGCTACCTGACGAAGGAAGTACCTGTTTATGGCTAAGCCAGCCTTGACTTTCGAAGTTTCTGGGCTCCGTGAGCGTTCATGGGTGACTCGGACTTGACCTGAATCTAAGGACGCGGCTGGAACTTGACTAGCCTTTGGGGATACTGGGGGTGGAAAAACACCAGCAACACATGACATGCACCAAACCCTCCTCTCACTGCTTTCAGCTCACTGTGTGGCTTAACGCCCAGTCTTTCTAAACTTGCAAACCAATATAATTCTGGCCACTGCCGTGATTTCTGCGTTTCGTCCAAACTGGTGTTAAGTAGCTCGTGGTTCCCCGAGTCCATTGCAGGCATGTTACCTCTTCTCCAGAGACCCATACATTCACTGGCATACAATCACTGTCCGTGATTCTACCCTGGAGATCCTCACACTGGTTGTAAGAATGAATCAACTAAAATAGCTTATGAATTACGAGCATAAGGAATCCTGGGACTGTCCAGTCTAATTTCCAGTTAGCTGCTGGGGTTTTGCATTTATTGTTAATATTTAGTCATTGTAGTCAAGTGTGTTCTGTCATAAATCTGGAATTGGATGCTTATTTTACTACTGATACTTTGTTTTAATTCCTTCAATGTCTTTTTTTTTTTTTAAGATTTTATTTACTTACTAGACAGAGAAAGACAGGGAGAGAGGGGACACAAGCAAGGGGAGTGGGAGAGGAAGAAGCAGACTTCCTGCCCACAGGGAGCCCAATGCAGGATGGGGGGCTGGATCCCAGGACCATGGAATCATGACCTGAGCTGAAGGCAGATGCTTAACGACTGAGCCACCCAGGTTCCCCTTTTCAATGTCTTCTTTATTTTCTTCCTACCCCAAATGTAATTACAGTTCTGTCTTCAGAACTGGAACCGATCACTTCCTTGATCTGTGAGATCAAGGTGGTTCTCTGAGAAATTAGTCTTTAAAATGTCTCTTAGAAAAAGCAGGAACTGTGTTGAGTCTGGTGGAGAGGAGAGATGGTATCATAAAACAAGCAAATGCCAATAATTTTGGCAACTAAACTCAAAGGATTGAATAAAAGGAAAAAGGTAAAAAGAACTCCACAGGCTAAATGTACAGTTTCCATTTGTCCACCAGATGGAGGTATGTTAATTGGTGAGACTAGAGGCCAGGCTGGAAATTTTTCCTTACCTGTGTAGGGTGTCATTGCTTTTAAAAAGGGAGCATTTTAATATTATGATTTATTTCTTAAGTGTATGTGTGGGAAGTTATTTAACAAAAGTTTCTTCACACAAGAATATAGATGCATCATAGCTGGCTCAGTACATTTAAAAGCACAAAAATTTTATTTATACACAGGATTATTTGCCAGGATTTATCACTTTTGTATAAAAATTTTTCTTTAGTATAGAGTATTTCTAAATCTAAACTATTATATATATGCATCTAAACTATTATATATATGCATATATAATAGTTATATATTTATTATATATATTTATATTTACTATTTATTTATTATTTTTTATTATTACTATAAATATATACTATATATATTTACTATATATATAGTAAATCTAAACTATTATGTTTGTTTAATGGGCTGGTTATATAAGTTTACTCTCAGAAAGTCCTGGAGGAAGATGTTACAGGAAAAAAAGCTAATGTGATTTTAATTTTGAAAACCTTTTTGATCCATTATACACAGATAAATTGGGGGGGGTTTGTGGCATAACTTTTTTTTTGGTTGAGCCAGTTAAATTAGATTATAATAATTATTACTTTCATTTATGCTAAAATACTTTTATTTATACTAATTATTACTTGCTTTTTGTAATCATGTAGCTGAAGATACATTCCTCTCCTTCCAGGTAGGGATGCACTTAAATTATCCAAGGAATTTAGGACAAGCTCCAAAGAGGGTATTATATACTCTAACAACCTCAGGGGAAAAAAATAAGTAAATAAATTAAATATAGTAAGGAAGTATTTCCTGGAACTTCCTAATATTGACATTGAATTCTTCCTGTTGAAATTTAAGTTTACCTCTTAAGAATAGAAGGATTTAACTTGAACTTGGCCAATTTTAGCATATTTATACAACTGGAGCCATATAGTTCTTCTTCCCTGATTCTGAATGTGAAAATAGTATAACCAAAAGAAATGTAACATTATTGATCCTTGAAAATTTTACCCCTGGGGGCGCCTGGGTGGCTCAGTGGGTTTAGCCTCTGCCTTCAGCTCAGGTCATGATCTCAGGGTCCTGGGATCCAGTCCTGCGTCCTCTGCTCAGCCGGGAGCCTGCTTCCTCCTCTCTCTGCCTGCCTCTCTGCCTACTTGTGTCTCTCTCTGTCAAATAAATAAATAAAATCTTTAAAAAAAAAAAAGAAAAGAAAATTTTACCCCTGTTAAAACTTGTTATTACAAAACATTATGTTGGGGCGCCTGGGTGGCTCAGTCAGTATCTGCCTTTAGCACAGGTCGTGATCCCAGCATCCTGGGATCAAGCAGGGAGCCTGCTTCTCACTCTCCCTCTGCCTTTCCCACTGCTTGTGCTCTTTCACTCACTCACTGTGTCAAATAAACAAAGTATTTATTTTTTTAAAAAGATTTTATTTATTTATTTGAGAGAGAGTGCATGAGCAGGGGGAGGGACAAAGAAGGGGGAAAGGGAGAAGCAGACTCCCCACTGAGCAGGGAGCCCAGTCATGACCTGAGCTGAATTGAAGGGAGTCGCTTAACAGACTAAGCCACCCAGGCACCCCCACATCTTGATTGTTTTATTACACATTGTTATTCACTGTTTATAAAGACTCTATAGTAAGAAAATTAATAGTTACAAAGTATTTAAGAATACCTAATTAAAACATATTTTGGACAGACACAGTATTCTTAAACATAATATTTTGCATGTGCATGTCATTTTTCATTTAATTCTCAGTTCATCTCAGGGGAAGTTGAGGCACCCACAAATGTTCACAATGGAATATAATAAAGTTTCCCTTTAGAATGTCCTGATCACTTTTGTAATAATTTTTAATGAAAAATTTTAAACACAGAGAAGACTATTTGAAAACTTACAGAACCTAATAATTGTATATGCTCTCTTTCACTATGGACAGCACATTTAATTATATTTTGTCCAGGGCTAAGGCTGTGGGAGTGGGTATAGGTATTAAATCAATTGTACGGGTTTTATAACAAAGTTCACTGTAAATATGAAAATGTCCTGCCTGCTGCCGTAGGAGTTTAGTATGCCCATTGTTGTCTTTTTGTAACTTTGGGGGAATATTCCCAAAAGACCAGGTATCCACTCTGTCTCCTAAGAATTTAAGATCCATGAAAGGAGTAGAGGAGGAGGAGGGAGTAAGAAGGGAAATTAGTATTAATTAGTATATTAATGAGCTGATATGTGCCAAATATAGTACTAGGTAGCTTTGCATGTATTATTTAATCCACAGGACTATTCTGTGAGATATTACTATTCCCGTTTTACAAATCAGGAAACAGGATCAAGGAAAGCAAGTAACTTGTTTAGGGATATGAATTCAATTTGAATTGAAAGCTTTCGTGTTCTTTCCACCATGGTTGGATGCATCCTTTTCTGGATCTTTTAAGGGCCCAAAATATAAGTGACTCATTGAAAGAATTAATGCATAATATATGACATATTATGACAATATATGTATCCATGCTCCTCCTCCCCATGCACCTTTACATTTACTGTGAATAATATATGGTAATGTATTACACGCTATAATGTAAATAAAATTTAGCTTTAGAACCAGGGCATAGATTTGAGTTTTTCGAGTACTTTATGTCTAGTTTCCCCCAACAGAAAATAGGGATAATTACTGCTTCTTTTCCACTTCAAAGGACTGATGTGATAATTAGGGAGCCAAGATTAGTCACAACAGGAATAAACTACAATTCCCGAAAGGCTCAAAGAGGCTGACGCCGGTCCGGGACACCGTTCCAGCTTTAGGGCAAAGGTGACCCCTCTGGCTCCCGCGGCCAAGTAGGGAGCAGCCGGTCCTCGCCTCTTCCCTGAGGCATCCAGGGATTTGTAGTTCCCTCAAGGCCATGATCTGCGGTTAGGGCCCGTCTCTCACTACAAGTCCCGTGATGACCAGAGGCGCGGGCAGCGCCTGCGTGTTGAAGCCGAGGGAACCGTGCGGGCGGCGCTACTGGCGGGAGGAGTAAAGATGGCGGTGCTGGGGTCTCCGCCTTCTGCTCCGGGCTGAATCGCTCTGAGGGAAGCTGCGGCGGCAACTGGGGCAGCAATAGCAATCCAGGGGTGGTGAGTTTCAGCAGCAGCTGCGGAGGTCGGAGCAATGGCGGAGCTGGAGCACCTGGGCGGGAAGCGGGCAGAGTCCGCGCGAATGCGGCGGGCTGAGCAGCTTCGGCGCTGGCGGGGCTCGCTGACAGAGCAGGAACCCGCGGAGCGACGAGGCGCGGGGCGGCAGCCGCAGACTCGTCGCGGGAGCCCCAGGGTCCGCTTCGAGGACGGTGCTGTTTTCCTGGCCGCTTGCTCTAGCGGGGACACCGACGAGGTGAAAAAGCTTCTGGCCAGAGGTGCGGACATCAACACGGTCAACGTGGACGGCTTGACAGCCCTGCACCAGGTAACTCCCTTTTCGGTCGGATAGGCGTCCAGTCTCCTACAGATGAGACTGTGACCCCTGCGGGCCGCCCATGGGGAGTGTTAGTGTCACCACCTAGCTCTCCCGCACGGACCCTGGTCCTTTGGGGCTAGTCGGTTTCATTCTCGTACAGCTTGCTCCACTAATCAAGTCTTTTTCCGACCCCAGGGTCTCTACCTGAAGGAGTAATGTCACCCCGCTGCCTGGTCAGTGTTTGTATTTCCCTCCACCTACTTGAGTTGTCATGGTTACTGATGATTTGGTCGCTGGTGTTATCCCTATAGATTAGTCATCTTCACTCTCTAGTTGGTGTGCCTGTACACCATGTCACTCGTATAGGCATCGTCAATGTCATCTGATGCCTTTTCAGAAAATTCAGTTTTCTGTGTGGCCCTGTTATCTTAGATCATTCAGAGAGTAAACCCCTATATTAGGTTAAAGCAAGCAGATCTTCTGAAACCATACCTCTTGTTTTGCTGGTTTGTAATGATTCATAAACAGCTTGTGTCTCCCACAGGCTCCGAGAACACCTCTGACCTCATTGTTACGTGTGACTTTTTAGGAGTATTACCTCCCTAAGAGCTTCCTATGGAGAAGCTGAATACTTCTGAATACCTACTGAATCACTTATGTTTGTTTGATACTTGTGGAATAGTCTTTATCTTTTCTTTTTTCTCAAAGCTTTTTATAAAAATCATATGCCCTATATATACCTATACTATATGGGTTGTGGCTATAACTTAACAGTGGTGTGCTTAGTAATAACACTCTTAGTGCCCTCATCTTATGCAACAGTATTCTTTCTTATGCAGTAATACATCTCAATACATTCTGACTGTCATAACTAACTCCCCCTTCCCTCCCCTAACGGAACTTCATTCCTTATTTTGGTGAGCTGAGAGCTGGTCACCCACTCCTAATCTTTCTTATTTTTTTTTCTGCCGTGTGTACAAAGTAAATGTGTTGGCATGAGAATCCACTTCTAAATAATAATTCCATTTTGTGTCATACCACTTACTGCATGTATTAGCCAATAGCCTAAAATTATCCCTTACCGTGTTTGCAACCCTTCTCTTTCAGATGGAAGAACCTTCTCTTCTTTTCATTCTGTTTGTATCTGGGTTTTGTTTTTTTTTTCCCCTGCTTATAAGAGTGGCCCACCTAATTAGCAAGCAACATTTGTATAGTCCTTTGCTGTTTAAAAATTCTTATGTATGTCTTCCCCTATGTGGATCTCAGCAGTGATTCTTGAAGTAGGTGTGGCAAGTAGTGTTGTAACTCCCATTTTACAGATGAGGAATCTGAAGCTTGGAAAATTGTTACTTGTGCAAGATTAGAAAAGAAACAAGTTGCCCTTAGGCATTGATTTTTCAGACTTAAATTCCAGAGCTTTATATCTCACCTAATAAGGAACTGAATATAAATAAGCTAGATGCTAAGAGGGCCATATGCATTATTTTAAGTTTCTGGATTCTTTGAGAAGGTGAATATTTATTTTTCAAATATATTTGGAATGTTAAGGAGATGGAGATCTGGATTTTGGAAGGAACCGTTTCTTGGGCTCATAGATGGTAGAGAAATAGCATCCAGCTTTCTGGTCCATGTGCTCCTTTACTGAGTCCCCATTCTATCAAAGCACAGTTTTCTTAGTGCAACTCAGGAGCCCTGTTTCTTCTAAAGCGACTCTGCTACCTGAATCTGGTTCTTACTGTATACATTTTAGTAATGCCCTGAGAAAAGCATGTGCTTTGAGGTCACTCTGGTAGAGCTCCTTCTCATACAAAGTAACCACTCTTCTGATCCCTTCTGAGACTGACTTTCTTGGTGCCTTTCCTTCTGTCTTAACTACCGTCCCAAGTTGTGAAATACAACTTCTCTCACTTTATATGCTGTTCACATTCAGTTATCTCTTGAAACAAGAGAGGAAGGACAGCTATGAGATTTTTAAAAACAATGACACCTGCATAGGCAATGTAGGGATTTGTCCCTGTTTATGGGTCTGACAGTGAGTTGAATTGAATAGGTATACTTAATACTAGACAAATTCAACCGAAGATTAAGCTGCTTCAAGATTTGGAGCCAAACAAACCTTCTGTTGAGAAACTATCTCTTTGTTTGAATCCAGACAAGGGGCCTTTATTGGCTCAGGAACTCTTTTACAAGTCAGTTTCCGTGGAGTGACAGTATGTTTCTCCATGCTCTGAAGAACTCTTAAGGTACATAAAAGGTTATATTCAAAATGTGAGACTGGAGCTGCCAGGAGCTGAACAGCTTACTTTGTGACTGATTGTCCTTCTGTGAAATGGAGAGTGGTACAATTATCTGAATTATTTAGTTAAAATATCCATTGGTTATATAAACACAGTTTGAATTATCAGGATAATTGCTTTCTTTCTCCCTTCTGTTTGGCCATGGCCTCTTGACCAATTGTGAATGACCATCTTGGCATGTTGGAAGAAACCCCCAGGTGATAGGGGTGGTTGATTTTTCTCCTCCCCCAACAAGGTCACAGTAAATGATTTACACTTCAGGTTGTGGTAGCCTTGATGCTACTTTTGACTTAGAGACCTTTCTTTCTTGGCAGCCTTTGCTAAGACCAGGAGGTGCTTGAGTCAATGATAAGCTCCAGGGGGCCTATTAATAATACTTGAAATAGACTGAGGTAAGAAATATCTCAAAGGTTAGACCTTCTCTGATGAAAGCCTTGGAAACTGATGCAGACTAACTAAACTTGGGTGAGTAAATCGTATATGCCCTTAGTATCCCAGAGCTAACAATGGAAATTAGGCATTACTCTGATTCTCTAAGCCGTGAAAGTATTTGTTCGCTCACAGAGGAATTCCCATTTCATTTATTTATATACACTATCAGTCATGACGTATGGGTTAATATAGTTCTGTGTGAAGTGGTACTTCTTAAAATTTCTTTTATTTTTATTTTTTTATTTTGCAAGGTTGATTGTTATCCCCTATTTTGGTATCCTTAGTATTACAATCTCGGGTGCTCTAGGTGTAGATACAGGCTCTTAAAACTATATCAGTCAAATTGTTGGGCTGCTGTAAGAGGCAAGTGCTTGCTTTCAGAAGGGAGATTTTCTGGGATTTGTTAAAATGAGTGCCTGAGTATTTCTTCAAAACATATTTTATTGGCACGTATCTGTGTTGGGTGTAATGGATTCTAATGTCAGTCCACACAGAGATGAGGATGATTCTGTACTTGATTCAGAAACTCAGGTCAGTTTTGTAGTGGTCTCAGAGTCCAAGTTTGGGGACATCCCAGACTGGAATTCAACTCCTAGTATCTTCTATTATTCTACAGCTGCCTCCATCTGACCCTGTAGCTTCAGGGAGATTAAAATGATCTATCTCTCTAGAAGACAGAAACAGATGAGGGAATGAGGAAAGGCAGAGCAATTTATATTCAGAGTAAGACAGAGTAAGACAGAAGAAGACTAGGATGGTAATGTGTTCAGTTCAGTACAAGATAGTATGTATATGTGCCAACAGGGGTGGTGAAATAAAACTTTGTATTCTTTGTAATTTGTTTTTAAGTAATCTCTCTGCCCTATGTGGCCTCAAACCCATAACCCCAAGATCAAGAGTCTTGCTCATCTACTGAGCCAGCCAGGTGCCCCTAAAACTTGTGTTCTTAACCCTTTCTCTTTTATTGCAAGTTCGTTACTTATTTCCCTTGTAGTTCTGCTTGTGAGATGCTTTACCTCACCTGTGTATATTGATGAATTCAGTTCAGTGTCAGGACCCGGGGCAATATGGGATTAAGAAGATCCTGTTGGCTTCGTTATTGTGGATCTAGAACAGTCATCCTGAGTCATTTAATAGTTTACCTCTTTCAGTCGGTTATGATGCATCAGACTATGTCGGGCACCTGGCTCCTTGCCTTATGAGTATTAGTCCCAAGTTTCCATGCTATAATGAACCTCAAAGCCAGATTTGAAAAATAGGCTTATTTTTATGGTGGGGTGTTTTTTTGTTTTGTTTTGTTCTGTTTTTGAGTATAGAAACAAGTTACTTTTATTTGTTCCCTAGCCAGATTTTTGTTGCCCATTCTTAAAGTCCTGTAGAGTAACAGTATACTATCATTTGGGCTTATAGAATCTTCTCTGTGAATATTTTTAAATAGGCAAGCTGTCAGTGTGTTTGGTTTAAGCATAATTCTGCTAAAGGTAGAAGGTTGGATGGGTCTTATTGGTAAATTAAAATTAAGTCATTGTTTGCTTATTTTTATTTTTAAGTATTTTTAAATTAAAGTACACTTTATTAGGATGCCTGGATGGCTCAGTCGGTTAAATGTCTGCCTTTGCTTAGGTCATGGTCCCCAGGTTCTGGGATCAAGCTCCGAGTCAGGCTCCCTGCTTAGCAGGGAGTCTGCTTCTCTCTCTCTCTCTGCAGCTCCCCTTGCTTGTGCTTGCTTTCTCTCTCTGTCAAATAAATAAAATCTTAAAAAAAGAAAAAAAGTATACTATATATACAATAAAATTCACCTTTTTGCATGTAGGGTTCTGTGAGTTCTGACAAGTACATGCAATTGTGTAGCCACTATCGCAAATCAACATATAGAATATTATCATTATCTCCACGATTTCTTTGTCCTCCTTGTAGCTGCCTCCTCCTCCCACCCCCAGCCCCTGGCAGCCATTCATCAATGTTCTGTTCCCATAACCACAATGCCCTATAGATGAATCCTACAGCATGAAACCTTTTGAATCTGGCTGCTTTAATTTGCTGTAATGCAGTGACATCCATCCATTTTGTCGCATGTGTCAGTAGCTCACTGGCCTTTATTGCTGAGTGGTATTCCAGCATATGGAAGTACTACAGTTTGTTTATCCATTCACCAGTTGAAGGACATTTGAATTAATTTTAGTTTTTGGTAATAATGAATAAAGCTGCTAGAAACATTTGTGTACACATTGTTGGTGTGGGCATGTTTCGTTTCACTTTGGTCAAATTCCTAGCAGTGGG